TCAAGATATTACTCCTCGTATTGTCAAACTTGAAAAAGAAAATCAGGATCTGCGAAATAGTACGTATATTATGACTATTACAGTATGGTACATGCAAGTATTAGTTTTTGTCTCAAAAAGTTCTCTATAATAACCATCAGCAATTAATAATAAAAAAAAATAATGTGATATTATATTATTAAGTATACAATTTACTTTTATTACAATTATTATTTTTTTTTTATTTATAATTCCATTAAATATTTTTATGAAATGTAGGGGAAGCCCGGGCAATACAGACTTGTTAAGATTGAGAAGAAAAAATGACACAATTAAAATTGAGATCAGAAACCATTTTTATTCTCATAAATCTCTTAAAGGACTTAACTTTGAAATAAAATTTTAAAAAATTAAAAATCTTGAACAAAAAAACAACAACACAAACACAACAACAACACAACACACAAAACACAAACATTAATATGTCGTTTAGTTAAAACATAAAAAAAGATAAACCATCCGCCCGACCCCCCTGGGCAACAATTTTGCCGCGTTGCGAAAATCATAAAAAAAAGTGTTGCAACCTTTTAGTCCCTGACTGTACACACACACGCACGCCCACGCGCACACGCGCCAGCAAATAAAATTAATTATCACCATAATTCCTTTTATTACGTAAATTATGTAATTATATATACTGCATCTAAAATAATTTTAGCATGAATTAATTATATATAATATCTGAATCTTAATTATTGTTACATACTTTTTTAATTATTTTAAAACATTATGTAAATACAAAAATATGTACAAAGATAATATGAGGTAAGCAATGCAAAAAAATTGTATCAAACTGCAATGATTTTCTTCTCATTGTATCGATAGATATCAATCTTAATGATGCTGGCAAGTACAATTAAAAGAATATGTATGATTTGAAAATCTTTCTGAATAGTCATTCAGGACCTGAAGAGTACTGTTGAAAAATTGACGCATCAAGTGAAAATTGTTGGAACTTTGGAACATCGTGTGGGAAGCCTCGAAGCACGTATACCTTACATAGCAATTTGTCCTGCGAAACCCGAGGAACCAGAACAAGAGCAGAAGCAGAACAAAAAAAAAGATGACAATGAAGATATTGATCTGTTTGATTCTGATTCAGAGGCAAGTGAGCAAAGACTGTAGAAATGATATTAATTGGTCTCTTTGTATAAGACGAATGTTTAAGTTTAATTTTATATGACACAGAAATAACTAAACATAATACACTGATATTCCTAAATTAATACAAATATTACGATATGCAATTTTATATTTATGTAAAATTATATGATATTTATTATTTGGCATACACCAGATATTCCCATAGTACTGATTCATCCAATATTAGCACTTTTTCACATTCATATAAATTCAGTATGTAATAATGTCTCTTTCGCGAATTATAAAATCTATCTGTTTTCATCCTATGATGAAAATTCTTACTGTATTTGATTCGATAGGGAGACGATTTAGAGGCTGCCAAGATTAGAGAAGAACGAATTGCTGCATATACTGCTAAGAAGTCTAAAAGTATGTAACGGAGTTCACAGTTATCTAAATTATATTATTATTAATTAACTTGTATCTTGTAGAACCAGCCTTAATAGCTAAATCAAATATCGTCCTGGATGTCAAACCGTGGGACGACGAGACAAACATGCAAGAAATGGAAAAAGAAGTGCGAAAGATCGAGATTGATGGTCTCCTTTGGGGTGCTTGTAAGTTTTTATAATATCTTTCGATTTTTAATATCGTATGTGAGCTCTATGACTAAGATTTATCCTTCTTTTGTAGCTAAACTCATGCCACTCGCCTTTGGAATTCACAAGCTACAGATTTCGTGTGTAGTAGAAGACGACAAAGTGTCAGTAGATTGGTTAATGGAAAAGATTCAAAATATCGAAGAATATGTACAAAGCGTTGATATTGCAGCTTTTAACAAGGTGTAAAGAAATTAGAGCCAAACTACAAAAAGTGTGTAGTCAAAAATAAGCATCGGTCTATGTGCCATTTCTGCATTCCATTAACAGTATCTATAATCGAAAACTGTTCCACATGCACGTTTTGTCGTATTATTAAGTCAAAAGACAAAGATAAAATTGTTCGATGTTATTACAGTCTGTCTAAAACCTTGAAAAATATAAAGAGCAAATTTAACAATTCAAATATTTAGTAGATTTAGATAAATTAAAAATATTTATTGCTAATCTTTATGATGTTGTAATTAGAGTTCTCTATCTTTTCTTTATATATATATTTTTTTATTAATTACAACAAATTGTTTCCGTTAAAAGTGAAGTTACCTTTTATTATTTTATGTTTTCATATTACCATAAATAAAAACATTTGTGACCAATGCAATACATGTATTTAGTGATTTCTGATTTATAAGAAATTACCTACTATTCTTAGATTCATTCATCCACAGTTACGAATTTAATATTAGCATAGCTGAATCATATACATATATGTATTTATATCTAAAATTTGTTTAATAAAGCAGCATCGTGTTTATTTCTGATCGTGTGTTTACCCATACTGATGTTCTCTTTTATTATTACTGATAAGGACTAAATTAAGATATCGTTGAGATATCGTGAAAAAAATTCAATGCACGAACGTTTTGTTTACGTATTTTATTTTTATTAACGCTTGTGCGATATATCATTTTATTAGAATATGACATTATACAACAATACCTCAATTCAGTTCTTATCAGTAATGGAAGAAAACATCAATATGAATAAACACACGATCATAAATAAACATATATATATATGATGTTACTTTATTTAAAAAATTTTCCTCCATTAGACTTCCTATTACATGCCACGCCACTATGAAACCTACAGTGTTGCTACATTAGTAGAAAAAAATTCATTATACGAACTTTTTATCCACACTACATAAATCTCGATTTGATTTCATATTGAAACAATTTTTATCATAAAAATTAAACAATTAATAATATTAATAATAATATTAATTAATATTATGTTATAAAAAAATATAGACTGATTCTTTATCAAAAAATAGATTGAATCCTATTAAAAATAAAAGAAGGCAGTTTTCATTATAAATTGTTAAAAAAGGACAAAATTTTCTATGTTATATCTCTTAACTTTCATACGAATTTTTTCCAATCTTAGAATTTTTCAAAAATATTTCTCTAATTTATCGACTCATTTTTGCGCATTTTAATTGTCCTATTAATATATATTTTTAATTATTTTAGAATTCTTTTAATAACATGTAAAAGTAAATTTTAAAGAAAGAAGTGAAATTTTACAAAATATGTAAATATATGTATATGTTTGATTTATTTATTGTTCAATAAAACTGTTAATTTTAGTTTTCATTTTTCTGCTGTATGAGATATTGCGTAATCATTTGCGGAAAAGATTCTCATTTGCCTTGTTTGTATAAAAGATGACGAAATTATTAGAATAAGGTATCTGAATAAGACTCACCTAATTAATTTTTTTTTTAAATTCTATAGGAATATTAAAATAAACTAAGTGAGATTTAAATCTTTATTTTATTCACTCACAAAACTAAAATATATTGTTAATACAGAATATTTATAAATGACCGAAAAAAAACTTTTAAACTCTGACATTGGGCCTTATTACATGCATATGAATGTATAAGGCCCAAATAAAAAATTTAAAAATAACAAAGATAATAAACATTATTTTTTTAAATCAGTTTTAAAATGATTATTAATCATAAAAAGAAAATTCCTTAGGATTTACTCTACTCTCAAACATTACAATTATCGTTTATTTTGTCTGCAATTAACACTTTAATCTTTGGAAATATCTAACAATTTGAATGCAATTTGAACTTCTTAAAAGATAGCAGCATTGAAAATTCTATGGCGTAAGCCTCACACAAATGACAATAGTCATGATAATAATCACATTAGTGGACCTTATTTAATGAGTATGTTGCTTAAAAAAAATATTTATACTTATTTCAAAAAGTTGATTTATTTGTTATTTTCAATAGCTAGGAAGTTGAATATAATATTATAATGTATTATAATGAACTGTGAAACAATGTGTACTGGTAAACTTTGCAACAAATTTGTTATAAAAATGGCTCATATATACACACAAGTTTTTGTTGTGTTAAACAAATGTATTGCTACTGATTCTAATTCTTTAATCCCTTTTTATTAACTTTCTATAACATATCTTTTAAGAGTTTTAAGCATATACTTCAGGCGTATAAAGCACGTTTTAAAATAATAAATGTTATTTAATACTGGGCTTCATTCGGCTCAGATATCTTATATTCAGATATGTTATCGCGTTTCCGGTACTATTTTTGTAAGTCTACTTTTTTTGTAAGTCTAAAGCAATGGCGTAACTATCGGGAGGCAGAGGAGGTTCCCTGGGCCCAAGGGTCGTTAGGGGCCTTAAAACTTAATTTTATTTTCAATTACATTGTCTATTACTATTTGACTTGATATTCTATAAGTTTTACTAGTAGATCTCTATCGAAAGATATAATTAATGCAAAAGTAATAAAAACGTCTATTTTAGCAACTTTGATCGTGTTTTTTCAAAAACTTAACATGATATGTCATTTTTACAGACAGTGCTAAAAAAATTTATCAGAAACGACTTGATAAAACTTAACCCTAGCTATACACACTTTTTTATCCCTGATATACATACTTGGGTACCCTAGAATCTCATCCATATTGTAGGCAATAATTTTTGTGCGCAAACGAACTGTCAGCAAAAGTGATGTAGACAAACGATACTGTATAAGGCAATCGATCTGTAAGCAAACAGTATCCTCTTCAAATTTTGAAGTTACGCCACTGAGTCTAAAGTATATATGTATATCGTCTTTCAATTCCTGTAGGGGAATTCCCTGTAATATCAGCTTTCTCCCCACACTTTGTTCGCGATTCATGATGGCAGATCTCAGTTAGCATAATTGTTCGTTGCAGTATTCAAAATACAGTCCTTGCAGAAGGTACACCAGAAATAACTTAAAGTTTATATCTTTTCGAAGACAATATTATAAAAAATGGTAGGCAACATTTTTATATAATTATTAGTTTTAATTATTAGTATTAATAATTTAGGAGAAACTACGATAATATATCTCATATAAGGGAATCTACAACTATGAAATCTATAATTATAGAACTGTTTTCGGTTATTATAATTATCTTTATTACATAAATTGTACAGTTTTTTATAATTTTAAAAAACAATAACGAATAGTTGAACTAAGACTCTTGTGATTTAGAATAACCAATAAAATTAAGAAAAATTTACAGACAATTAAGAGTCCACTCGATAATTGGTGAGTATAAAAAATTCAAACGTATTAATAATTAATTAAACATCTATATATGTAATCAATCAAATACAAAGTTTCCGAACGTTTCGGTCCTATATTAGGATCATCCTCAGCGGTGAAAAAATAATCTTCATAAGTCTTGACTATCATTAAGATCGCAGTCAGTTAGTGAATCTGTGCTTCCACAAAACAACACACGCAAGCCCATCACTTGGTTGAGTGAAAATCTCCTCTGTATTTAATTCCATAGGGAATGTCCTCGTTGTTCAACAGAGACACACTACTTAATAGTTAATACAATTACACAATAATATAAAATCCATCGATAAATTTTGACAAATTAACATACAGTAAATTATGTCTTGACTCGTCGACATTAAACGATGTAATGAACATCGTTTAATGAAACTTATGAAGATTTTTTCACCGCTGAGGATGGTCCCAATATAGGACCGAAACGTTCGGAAATTTGTATTTGATTGACTATATTATATGGATGTTTAATTAATTATTAATATGTTTGAATTTTATATGCACCAATTACCGCGTGGACTCTTAATTGTCTGCGAATTTTTCTTAATTTTATTGTTTTAGTTATAATTTTGTTTCATATTTATTTTTTTATTGAGAATTTTTAATTAGTTTAATTTTTAATTTATTACAATTTTAATTTTATTTGTTATTGGACATAAAAGCTCTAAATGATTAAGCTGCATCTTTTATGCTGAAATAATTCTATGAATTTATATACTACATATGTGTATATCCAATTTTTCGAACTGCGCGCCAAATTTATTTTCAATCTTGAAACACAATTAACAGAACTACAGTAGTAATATCACCAATTAAATTGACAAGCAATTTAATTATATTGATGCTCATAAGACATCTTAAATTGATCTAAAATCTGTAAATAATTTTATATTGCAAAAAATATTAACGGCCGGAGATCGAATCCGGAGATCTTCATGCATTCCGTGCAAGCGTCCTAAGCCTTCAAATATAGAATTATTTCAGCACTAAAGATCCAGTTTGATCATATTAGGGCCTTTTATTTCCAATTTGTTGTGTAGTCATATTATCTTATAAGACTTTATATTTTTTATTTTATTGAGTTACATTTAAATCACAAATCATCTTTTTATAATCCTCTAAAACAAATGTTTTCTATATTTATTACAGAAATCGATAATCTCTCTCGTTAAGTCTGTCTTCATAATCATCACCTTTGTTTGCTGGTCTACATCATCAAGAGCAAATGTTTACTTTGCCATAGAAAACTACATGAACGAATCGCTTCAATCTCTATGTAATGACGATGTGTCTCTAAACTTCTCGAATGCAGTGATCTCTGAAATCAATCAGAATTTCATCAGCAGCCCTGTGATTACCTGCCTCAATCTTATGAACAATAGTATTGGGAAAATTGGGAAAGGTGCCTTCGAAAAATTACCAAATTTAACTCAATTGTTTCTTTCAAACAATGAATTGCGTCCGGACAGTGAACTTCTTGATTTTGGAGGTCACGATAAGTTACAAGTGCTTATTGTGAACAATGCAAGAACAAGGTGGTCTTATCAACAATATATACAGATTTTCGACGAATATCCTAACTTAGAAATTTTGTCTCTACGTGAAAATTATGCCGTCGATTTAAAGTTTGTACAAAAAACTCCATTTCGGGAAGACTATTTTAATTATATGACGCCGATGACTTTACAAAGCTGGATGCCATTCCCCAAGTTAAAGATCTTGGATCTCTCTGAAAACAGCATATCAGAAACTAATTTTGTACAACTATTGTCAAACAGCTTATACTTTCTTGATCTTCATGACAATTTGCTTAGTAGGTTGGACTTAAACGAAAAAGGGAACAAATTGTTCGCACTGAATTTGGATAAAAATGAATTTAACATTATTCAACGGTACAATAACCAATACGGTCGGACTTTATCGTTGGCTAGTCTGAAGAATCTACACTATCTTTCTGTTTCTAGAAACAAGATTAATACTGTCGAATCAGATGCTTTCCGAAACAATAACGAATTGCTTTTCTTGAACTTATCCTCAAATCAGATACATTATCTACATCCGGAAACATTTGCAAATTTGCAGTATTTAAAAACACTTGATCTAAGTATCAATCAACTCGAGAATGCTCCGCAAATTTCAATAAATGAAACAGAAATTAGCATTTTATACATTAATAACAACAACATAAAAAAAATAATCTCGCATTCTTTTGTACATATGCCGAAATTGATGAAATTGTTAATAGGAAAGAATCAGATTGATAAAATAGATGTTAATGCGTTCGCTCATCTTACTGTTCTAGAAGAATTAGATTTATCGAGGAATATGTTAAGTTCTTTGCCGGAAGGGTGGACGGAATCCCTTGTATCTTTGAAATATTTGAATTTAAGCGATAATAAATTCACTTCGCTGGAGTCTTTGTCACTGACGAATACGTTGCCATTGATAGAAGTATATTTAATGAAAAATTCACTGGAATATCTGAATGTTAAATATTTTGAGAATTTACCGCAGAATCTCACTATTGACTTGATTAATTCAAATTTTATAAAATATATACGAGAAAGAACCTCGAGTACCCCGATAGAAGATGGTATTGAAATTTAACACATTTCATCCCAAATGTCCACTCAAATTTATGTATTAATTTAACATAAGATGAATATGTTAAAATATAAAACGCAAATATTATTTAATAAAATAAATAAAATAAAAAAGATAATACTGACATAGTTTGTAAACAAACTGTGGGAACATATTTTTTTCAATAAAATTGAGATTTATGATATGCTAAATTAACACATATTTTATTCATTTATCTTAGAATTTATGTTTTGAAACATTTTTATGTTGCTTGTTCACTTACTCATAAATTGTATTATTTTGACATTAAGAAATGTTAAATATCAATTCAACACAAACTATTTAAATAACATATAATCAGATTATGTTAAATTAACTTAACAATGAAAAATGTCAAAAATTTTACACAAAGTTTAACAAGAACTTGATCAGTGGACTGTTTTTAGCTCGTAGCCTCGGTAGTCTAAAGACTTAGGCATTTCGCACGAAATGCAAAAGATCCGGGTTCGACTCTCGGCCAAGGTAATATTTTTCGCAATAAGAATTAATTCTTTACAGATTTTAATATGTCATTCAACATTATTAAGATCGTTTCGAAGATGCGAATAGGCATAAAAAATTTGTTAAATTGCTAGTCAATTTAACTCGTGATATTACTGCGGTAGTTTAATAGAGTTAGCGTTTCAAGACCGAAAAATCATTTCGGCGCGCGTTTCTGGGGACTACACACGTAGTATATAAATTCACATAAAAATCATACAAGCATTAAGATCCAGTTAGATCGTTTAAGACTTTGATTTCAATAGTTTGTGTTATCACATATACGGTCCTATAATATATTATATTGTTTATCCTTATTGCAGTTATTAATCAGTTATTCGACTTTTGAATAGTTATATATTCGTACTTGTCAATTACACCAGAGAGAAACCTTTCTGATTATATACACTACAAAATCCTTTATAAGTAGATATATATAAATATATAGTATTGCATATAACATAGAAAAAAATATATGTATAAAATGCAATTTTATTTGCTGTATTGATACAAGTTCTAATAAAATTAAAATTTTAATATTACAGACATAAAAAATATTTTTTTGTTTATTAGAAGTAATGGAATTTTAAATAATTATGTAAGATTTTCTGTGTATATATGTAACATCGGAAGAGTTTATTATAAATATTAATAACATTAATAATAATATTAATATTACGTTATCAAAAATGAATTGTCAAAAAATAGATCGAATCCTTTTATTAAAAATAAAAGAAGACGGTTTGTATATAATTAAAAACAGACAAAATTTTATATACGTTAATTTCGATCTCTTAACTTTTTTATTTAAATTTTTCCAATCTCAGTATTTTTCGAATATTCGCCTTAGTTCAATGACTCATTTTTCCTCATTTTAATTGCCTTATTAATATATATTTTGAATTATTTGAAAATTCTTTTAATGACAAACAAAACACAAATAAAAGTAAATTTAAAAAAAAAATGACAAAATTTTATAGAATATGGAGATGTACATGTTTGATTTATTCATTGTCTAGTAAAATGTCTATGACCATCGATCATAATTTTAATTTTTTTCCTGCTATACACTGCATAACTACTCTCGGAAGAGATAGTACTTGCTAGATGTTATATGAAAAATAACAAAGTTATTAAATATAGTTAGGCTACATTCCAAAACGTCGTTTCCGAGGAAAACTTTACTTGAAATGTATGGTACACGTAACATATCTATATATTGTACCGATAAAATATTCCTTAGAGAAGACATTTTAAAATGTAGCCTTAGATAAGTTAGAGTCAGTGTAACTGTTCGTTGCAGTATTCAACACAGTTCTTATAGGAGGTACATCAGAAATAATTTAAAGTTTGCATTTTTCAAAGAGAACATTGTAAAAATGGTAGGCTACATTTTTATATAATTTTAAAAGAAACTATGATAAAAATAAATTTTATATGTCTTGTTTGTATAAGAAACTTTATAACTATGAAAACTATAATTATGGAACTACATTTTCGATTAATTATCTTTATTGCATAAATATAATTATAATTTTGTCTCATATTTATTTTTTATTGAATGTTAATTAGTTTAAATAATATTAAAAACAAAGAGTAATTTCTGAGATTGTACATGTAACATACAACAAGAAAGAAAAGAAAGCCTATATAACGATTTTAATATATTATCCAGCATAATTAAACAAGATCGGCAACTTACTTCGCCCGTGGGTGTAAAATTTTTAACTGACAAAATGGGGAAGAGCACAAAATGACGACTTTTTTAATTTTTTATTTATTTTGTGTTCTTTGTTGCCATCCCCTTTTTTTACAATTGCGAATTGCATCGCTCTGTCTAACAGTTGGTAAGGGATCATTTATATTGGCTGTAACTGTATGCCGTAATTTATAAGAATTGGTTAATCACATTCGAATATTCCGGTCTCATTCAATTGTAAGAGAGGAATGTTCGACTGTGATCAGTCAATTCTTACAAATAACGACATACGGCACATGGTTACGGCCAGTATAAATGATTCCTGAAAGTTGAATCTTTGTTATGCGCAGTTGTACTGCTATCACAAATATCTGTTAGCGCATATTTTAAAAAGTTCACAGTTGATTTTTAATTCGATTCTTGGATTCTTTTGATATGGATTTTCACACTAAGCTAAATTTTGGAATGCTTTACGATTGTACACTATAGTTGCCGCGCCTGTAATTAATTCTCAAACAGCATACGTGGGTCATTCGTGTCCATGCATTGTACTTTCTAACATTCTTATTTCTCATATACCTGCGCGCCTGACCCTATCCCAACATCTACATAACAAAATAATTTAGTAGAGACCTTAAAGAACATGTGTGAATTTTTATAGAATTTTTCGAGCACTTTAAATACCTTAAAATCGAGTCGGACACAAATGACCTATACCATTCGAAGGTGCTGAAAATAAGTATGCCATTCGAGGATTAAGTTCTTTATAAGATGCGATGAGCATTAACTTAGTAAATTGCTAACTAATTTAATTTATGATATTACTACTGTAGTTCAATCGGTTTGCGTTTCAAGACCGAAAAATTAATTCAGCTCGCCATTTAGATGATTATATTAATAAGTAGTATATAAATTCATATAAAATTATTTAAACACTTAAGATTCAGCTTGATCATAAAGAAAAGTTTTCTTTTCTTTCTTAATTAGTTTAATTTAATTTATTATGTTTTATATTTAAATCACATGCCATATTTTTATAATTCTAAAACAGACGTTTTCTATATTTACAGAGATTGACCATTGTGAAATTTGTCTTCACAATCATCATCTTCGTTTGCTGGTCTACATAATCAATAGCAAACGTTGATCACTTTGCCATAGAAAATTACATGAACAATTTGCTTCAATCTCCATGTAATGATGATATATCTTTCAAATTCTCAAACGTTGTGTTCACTGAAATCAAGCGGGATTTCATCAGCAGCCCTGTGATTACCTGTCTCAATCTTATGGGCAATAGTATTGAGAAAATTGATAAAGGTGCCTTCGATCAATTACTCAATTTAACTCAATTGTTTCTTTCAAACAAAAGATGGAACATCTCAAAAGAACTTCTTAACTTTGGAGCTCAGGATAAGTTACAAGTGCTTATTATGAATGATGCAAATAACTGCAGCAACAGCAGATATAGAAATTTTATCTCTAAGTAAAAATTGCTTCAAGGATTTAGATTTTCAACTTAGGGAATCCAATTTTGCTAATGTGATGTCTTCGATTGATACCTGGGTGCTATTCCCCAAGTTAAAAATCCTGGATCTCTCTGGAAACAGCATAATAAGAACCAATTTTGTACGACTAGTGTCGAACAACTTATACTTTCTTGATCTTCGTGATAATTTATTTAATAATTTAAAGTTAAAGGAAAAAGGAAATAAATTGTTCGCGCTGAATTTGGATAGAAATAGGTTTGACACTATTGGCAATCCGCACAGTGCATTATCATGGATTTTATCGATGACTAGTATGAAGGATCTGCACTATCTTTCTGTTTCCGGGAACAAGATTAATACTATCAAATCAGATGCTTTCGAAGATAATAACGAATTGCTCTTTTTGAACTTATCCTCAAATCACATATATGATCTATATCCGAAAACATTCGCAAATTTGCAGTATTTAAAAACACTCGATCTGAGTAGAAACCTAATCGAGAATATTCCGCAATTCTCAAATGAAATAGAAATTAGCACTTCATATATTAATAACAATTTCATACAGAAAATAATGTCGCATACTTTTATCCATATGCCAAAATTGGTAAAATTATTATTAATGGGAGAGAATCGGATTAGAGTAATTGATGTCAATGCGTTTGCTCATCTCACTGTCCTAGAAGAATTAGATTTGTCGAAAAATATGTTAAGTTCTTTGCCGGAAGGGTGGACAGAATCCCTTGTATCTTTAAAATATTTGAATTTAAGCGATAATAAATTTACTTCGCTGGAGTCTTTGTCACTGACGAATATATGGCCATCGATAGAAGTATTATATTTAATGAAAAATCCATTAGAATATCTGAATGTTAAATATTTTGAGAATTTACCGCAGAATCTCATTATTGACTTGATACATAATTCAAATTTTACAACTGACGTAGACGATACATTGATAAACCCAACTGACGTAGACGATACATTGATGAACCCAACTTACCTAGACGGATGGACATTCCCTGCTGCAGATTCCCATGAGGAATCCTATGGGGATCCTGCTACGGAGATCCTATATGGCCTAACCATAGGTACCTATGGTAAATTCGACAGGTCCCCAGGGGAGGAAGCTCCTATCTTGCTGTAAATTCCCATGGGTTTTTTCATGGATTCCTATAGAGGACTATAAGATTCTGGCTCTGTTCCAAAATTTGCTGTCAGTACTGAAAATCTATAATTTACGTTATGTGCACTATAGATTTTCAGTGCTGACAATAAATTTTGGAACACAGCCTCTGTAGGAGCTTGTACAGTGTAAACAATTGATGACAACAGAGAAAAATATCAGGGCGTTCCTCGTCTCGAACCCAGACCTGGTCTTTCCTCCGAAATGGTGGACTTCCGTTCTGCCACTGAATCACACAGCCCTGACGCTGATAGCTTCTCTGTGCCTATTTCCTCCAAATTTCTTACAATAGATACCTATAGGATTTACGCAGCATGTATATATAGGATGACAGGAAATTTAGTACGAAACCTTGGAATTTCAAGAATAGATCTAGACACGGAGAAAACCCTCCAAACGCATAATCTTTACATAGAAAGCACCCGTGGAAGCCATAAGAATATTAACTTAAAATATATATATAAACACCCTGTTAAATTCATAATGTGGAATTATATTCAATTTGAACTATTTTTAATTATTTCTATAGAATATTATTATTATTCTCTCAAGTTAGTATAGATACCCATGGGAATGCGAAAGAGATGCCTATGGGAATTAAAGGCCTATAGGATACTGCATCTTGACGTATAGGAACATGTAGGTGCATATAGGACAGAAATGTGTATACACCAT